GAAGGTCCAAGCCTCTCCTATTTTGCAAGACCACTTCTGCTAGCAAATCTATCTGGTCTTGGATATCTTGGATAGTACCAGATAATGCTCAAACATCATCAATCAGCTGGTTAGATAATTTAGTATAAGAATGTACTGCTACCGTCAACCCTGCTGAACCTGTCCCCATGGCTGCTGTGACTCCCAGCCCCACTAGTAAGGGGATGAATTGAACCACCCTCTTTGTGTGGCCTTAGAAACAGGCCTGGGCATTCTGCTGCCACCTGCACCCTGCTCTCCGCTTCCCGTTATTGTTCCCTTTCTTCCTCCTCCCCTGCTTCTCCTTTGCTCTCTATCCCCCTGGTGCCTCATGCCTCCCTGTCCTAGGTAACTGCCATTGCCGTGCTGCATCATCCTATAGTCACATTCTACTCACCATCTTTCTACTTACTGCCTGTTCCTCTTTGTTGCCTAGGCCTATAGATTACTCCCCACCTCTTCTCTATAGCCATTCTTTTCTCAACTATCTAGTTGGTGTCACTTCATCAGATTTGTGCCTCTTTTCTCCATAAAAGTCTGTTCTTCCTGGACCTACCCTCCTTCAGATTCTTTCCATCCTTTTTTTACTACCATGTCTTTTGTCACCATCATCTGTTAATTATCTGGATCTTCCTTTATTCTGGAGTCTTGTTACTCTTAAACTGCCTCTTCCTTCCTTCCCTCTTAACATATCCCCCCTTTTTTTTTCTGACTTTCTTTTCCAACCAGTAAGTGCCAAAGGTGTCTATAGCCAGTCTCCCCACCGGCCTTAGTAATTACTGTAGATTTATTTGATCTTTTTTTTTTTTTTTCCTTTATTCCTCCTTTTGGGTTGAGCTTCACACAGGGAACATACTCCAATTCATTTGACCGGGAGCCATCACTTCTGAAACCGGAAATGCCATTTTGGGCAGGGGCTTATTGTGTTCAGGTGCCATTTTAGGCAAGGGCTCACTGGGCCCAGGCGCCATCTTAGGGGTGCCACGTGTCTGATCAGCCTGCAAAGATTGTAAATGTAATGTAAGCCTCTCAAACAGTCGATTTTCCAGGTCTAAAAGCACACTGGAAGATTTAGGAGCAAATTTGGACATTTCATTATCATCAGGAGGCATTTTTGTAGCAACTGGTGCTGCAACGGGGTCAGGACAGTATTTGGAAGCCTCTTTGGCTAAGTCTTCCCAATTGACCTCTTGTAAAGTAGTAAGGTCGGGATACAAAGATGTATAATGGGTCAGGAGAGGAGCCTTGGGCGGAGGAGGAGGCAAAAGCTCAGAAGGGGGAGGCGGCAGCTGCTCATTAGGGGAAGGTGGAAGCTGCTTGTTATCTTGGGATTTAGTTAACACTTCATTTGCCTCCTCACCGTGGAGAGAGGAGACGTCTGAACCAGCCTGAGAAGGGGCCGGAGTGGGCCTATTGGAGTTACACAGGACAGTTTCTCCGTGGGTAATCATTTCTCCGACCAAAGGGTCTCTATGTCACTGCGTAAGAATCTCATCAATCAAGACCCAGTATGAAAATGCTGTGATTGGGACTTTTTCAGGGCCAAAAACTCTGTGATAATCTTGTAATGCATCACCCACTCATTTTTATCTTTTAGAACTGATCGTGCCCTCCAATGGGAACCACGGGCAAACCTCATGAATAAACTTAAAATACTGTAATAATTCCTTTTCCTTTACCTTAATCCCTTGTGTCTTGAGTGCCTTACTGAGGCTTTCCACAAAGAGCTCATGCTTGCTTAATGCTTGACCCATGCCAGAGAAGGGGAAGGGGGTTGCCGTTCACTCACTATGGCTCGAGCGGCACAGCAGGCACTCGCGCAGCGTTGGCCTCGGAATTTACTTTCACTATCTGCTTCATACCAGCTCTCTCAAAGGGCTCCCTCCTTAAATCATCCGTGCCAGGCCTCCACGTGAGGCGCCACTTGACTCGGCCCGTGAGTAGAGACGTGGGGTAATGACCTGGAGGAGGAATGGGGATGAACAAGACAGGGCAAGAGACACAAGAGACGGAGACAAGACAGGCTTTCTGATCAAGTCTCGTTTATTGAGGAAGTGAACAGGGTCTAAATAGCTGTATAGTGGAAGTAGTTGGGTGGGACTAGTTGTGGATTGATAGTGGAGATCCAGGACCACAGGAAGATGTCGAGGCAAGCGGGGATTGGTGCTGCAGCACCTCTTGCCCAAATAAGGGAAAATATAACAGGCGCATTCTATTGCCCCGCTCATATGTATATATACAAGATGGCAAAGGCAATTGTCCTAAGAATTTCCATCAGTTTTTTTAAAAATCAGAGTTAATGGGTACAATTCTTACCTTGACTAACTCTCTATACTTTTCTTAATTTGGACATTGGCTTTTTACCTGAAACAGAAGGCTGTATATTGCAATTGTAAAAAATAAAATAAATTTAAGAATGCCCTTCTTTTGAGATGTTTTAAGGGCAAGAATGTTAATATAAAAGAGCTGGAAACTAAAACAATAAAGGCACCATGGCATTATCTAGAAATTTTTATTAATTTTATTGAAAAAAATAGCAATGAGACAGTTTCAAAAGTGAATAGTAGGACAGTTTCAGTAATTAATACATTGCATATTATTGTCTTCATGTGGGTTATTCATAATACAAGATGCAGACATACTATCCTGTCCAAACACCATTAGTATAAATATGTCTTCTCATTGAATTAAGAGAAAGTAACTGTATATCTATCCTATTTTCTATATAAATACAAAATGGTCCTTCCTTTGTATCCCTTTGTTGTTTAGTTTTGTCAGAGATGGGTATTCCATTGCCATTTAAATATTGTAGGTGTGTAAATTCAGCAAAATAATCCAATATAGTCCAGTAGTCCATAATAATATTAAAAGTAATGGTATTTTGATCAGGATTGCATTAAATCTGTATAACAATTTTGGGAGTATGGCATTCTTCACAGTGTTAGTTCTTCCTATTCAGGAGCAGAGAATATCTTGCCATTTTATGAAATCCTTTTGGT